TATTGATGGACATTGTGTAAAGAGTAACAAGTTGCATAGTGATTATTCAACATTCTTCATGTCATTATAATTGTGAACTTAGGGGATGTATTGTGTTTCCAAAATTGGTTTGTGTATGGTAGATGGCTTTACGTTATATATATATATATATATATATATATATATATATATATATATATATATATATGTTATGTTAATACATATATGTTGTTGCACAAATTGTTGATTTTGGAAACTTGGGATGTAGTTGTTATGACTAAGGCTAGGGCATGGTTCTAGTACGGGGGATTGTCCCTCTACAAGTCTAGTGCGCACATAGGGAGGTTACCCATGGGCTAGTAACCCTAAAGTAACTATGGTGTCGGTCTGATCCACCGTGATGTTCAAGTATCCATTTTGGTTTGATTTCGCATTTAAATTCCAAACTTGATAACCTTGTGATATTGCATCTCATTGTGCTATGTTTAAAGTTCCAATGTCATTATAATAGCATGGGCTAAATTCTATTGAAATGCAAATTTGGCAATAAGTTAAACTTATGCATGGTCATTCCCTACGAGTAAACTTGTTTACTCACCCCAAAGTTACGGGGAGTTTTCAGGTAAAGAAGCATTATTGTGGGATGCACAACACTCTTAGACTTGCTTGATTTCTTGGAGTACTTTTGGTGACATTGAATATATATGATGAGCGCTGAAAAATACACATTTAAACCCCTTAAGCTTGAGTATTCTAGGACCTTTATCTATCTTATTTACCCGTTTTAGTACTTATTTGTGTTTTTGTCTATTTCAGGTCAATAATGTTAAAATGGGCTAAAAATGAGTTCTTAAGGCCTTTTTGGAGTCAAACTAAGTCTTAGCGATGATCCGGAGCAAAAAGAGGCTGATTTGGAACAAAAAGAAGCTGATACTGAAAAGCTGAAAAGTTGGATGGATCGCAAAAAAAGTTGGATCGATTGAACTTTTAGTTGGATCGATCAGAAAAGTTGGATCGATCGAAAAATAAGTTGGATCGATCGAAAAAGTTGGATCGATCGAAAATAAGTTGGATCGATCGAAAATAAGTTGGATCGATCGAAATGGGAAGCATGCATAGCCTTAGAAATGGAACAAGAACCTTCCCCATTCTTTACAGCAGCTTTTTTTGCTGCAGCAGGGTGCATTGGTCGGCTGATAGTAGAAATCAGCCGGCTGCACATATCGAGTTTGCATTCCAATAGCCATTTTTTTGGATTTTTGGAGTTTCAGCCGGCTGATCATTGGGGTTTGGCCAGCTGATCATTGGGGTTTGGTCGGCTGATGATGAGGGTTCAGCCGGCTGATCCTCCCTGGGACTTTCCCCTTTTGTTTTTCTTGGATAGATTTCTTAGGTCAACTTCAGGGGTCATATGTCCTTCGTTTTTTATCCAACTTAGGTCGTTCTTGAACCTAAACTCAAGAGCTTGAAGTCATATTTCCAATGGTACCAATTACACTCAAAAAATACACTCTTAGTAAGAGTTATACCAGTTTTAGTGAGATAGGGTCGTGGTATCTCTAAATCGAAGAATGCCATTTTGTTCTTATTTTCATATCTTTTCTGTCCGGACTCCGAATCAGGTGATTCTTGAGTCTAAATTTATTAATTTTTCATTGTCTTTCAAATGGTATGCTTGGTAGCATCCATTTCTCTAGGTTAATTCTTGTACATTTTTTAAACGTCTTTTCCCCATTTGTTTTCCTTGGGTTTCGTGACTTCATTGAGGGTCACATTGGTGTCTTATAAATGTGTAGTATCTCTAGAAACCATTATTATACCTTTTGCTTCCGCATTCTAGAATCATCATTGGATTTACGTTTGGTTTATCTTGGGACGCACTAGCCTAAAAACTAGGGCTGTCGCACTCGGGATGGAATATGCCGGAGAAAATGGTCAACTCCCGTAGGATGATCAGTGTGGAAAATATGGTGAAAATAATTGAGAAACAGGTCTTGAATCTAAAACTCCTCCTCGATCCATCTACCCTATGAATCCTCAACCCAAATATATGATTATACTGTCGTCTACGGGTAGTAGAAGCATGAAAAAAATTTGAATTTCGATCCCCCAACCAAAGCCAATTAACCCGGGACTTCTGAAACCAATATAACTCCTTATGCTGCCACAAAGAATTCAACTTGCTTTTTGCAATAAGCACCTGAGCATGATCATAGTCCGTTATATTTTCTTTAAAAAATTTCAAACGGCTTGCAGTACGATCAATGTAGTCCCGAGAAGTAGTAGTGCGAACCCATTTGATTAAGGCTTTCTTACAGGATTTGAGTTTTTCCGACCATTGATACATACGTGAGCCAGATATAGACACCCGCCATGCATCTCTAATAATAGTATCACACAAAGGATCCAAAACCCACTGGGCATCAAAACGAAATTGACAAGCTTTCTTAGAAAAAGTCGGTGAAAGTTGAAGAAACAATGCACAATGATCCGACCCAGCAACCGTTAAATGACGTAGGCAAGCTTGGGGAAACAACCGACACCAATGTTGAGTAGCTAAGGCTTGATCCAAGCATTCTTGAATATGATCTCACCCACTTCGATGATTGCTCCAGGTGAAGGGATACCCCTCAAACCCCAAATCCATTAGCTCACAATCATGCACCAGGGAGAGAAAATTTTTCAACACCCAAAATGGTTTTGGATTACCCCCTCATTTTTCTAGAGGGGATAATAGATCATTAATTAGATAATGATAAACATTATATTTGTCCATCTGTACCATTTTTGGTACTTATGGAAAGGGACAAAGCCTTGGCAAAGACAAAAGTGTGGTATCATAATTAAAGAAGATCATAATTACCATATGGCAAATTTAAGTTGGTACGTATAGTAATTAACGGTGATGTGGATATATTCAAAGTATGTAATAAATGTGGATATTTTTTTCATTATATATATAATATATATATATCATAATTGTTACACTATTTTAGTTATTTGATATAATTACTAAATATAATATATATAATTACTAAATTTATGTTTCATAGATACATATTTTAAGTACTACTAAATTTATTTAGATCATCATTAAATTACTAGGTTTAGAAAGTTATTATTTTATTTATTTATTTATTTATTATTATTATTATTATTTGAAGTGAAGATGTATTGATGAAGAATAAATATACATAGGTTAGAACCCAAAACAAACAAGAACAAAATAAATAGGGCTAGCAACAGAAAATCTAGCCAAATACACAAATGGCTAGATTCGGATTCGGATGGAAGAGTGATTGAATATGGGTTTGGTATTAGCCTCACCTAATAGCTTAGACTTTTGGGTGAAATCGCAAAACACCCGCCCGTTATAGTTGTTATTGTTGACTTTAAGGATTTCATCCAAAAACAATTTAGTTATTTTGATGATTACAAATCATTAATGGTGTTTAAGGACTAATATTTACATCGAATGTTATAAATTATTCACATTCAAAGAATGACCTTAATGAAGCAATAAAGATCATTTCAAGTATTCCATTATTCAAGATCATGTCAAGGAAATAGATGCAAAGAAGACTTGAAATTGCAAGAAACAAAATACAAAGTTTATCCAAAAGATAGCTTAAACTACAATAAGCAAGCAAGCAACTCAAAGAAAGGAAGAAAATAAGAATACCTCAAAGCATATACGATCATGGACAAAATATTAAGAAATGGGTAAATATTATGGTCAGTGTTTAGGATTCAATGTCAAAGTATTTATAAATCCATTTGAAGATCATCTTTATAGGACCAGACATATCATTACATCATTTATATATTTCTATATTCATTAGCAATTGACTATGAACTTCATTACATATATATTTGACATATGAAGTCATTGCTAAACAATGAGTTAGTTCAAGCTTGTAGAAGCTTTGAAAGAACTCAACACTTCAGTTAAAAAATACTAGGACCATGCATAACAATCATATGATTCATATTAGTCACTAGAAAGTAGAGTTTAATGCATTGAACTTAATCTTTCATCTTTAAAGCATTTGTTATCATAATTTGGTAAATAATTCTAGGACATAATGCACTTGATATTTATCATCCTTATATGTTCGTAGACTTTTAAAAACTGGACTTGAACTGAATTGAATCATTCATCAAAGTTCTAGTTGCTAAAAAGATGGCTATCCATAAGAAGTAATTTTTAACCCAGAAAATTTCCTGACCAGCCTAGACTAAAACTGCTATAACTATTTTTGTAGTTGAAGTTTTTATGTGAAGATAGTTGAATTGAAAATATGACATCGAGCCTTTAAAGTTAGACTCAAAGTTCACCTAAATTGGATTTGAATTGACTGATATCTGACCATCGCAAGATGCATGTTTCTGGATTGCAAATTTTCTGGCCAGGTTCCACTAAGATAGTTAGAACCATTTTTGTGGTTGGAGGTTTTCTGTAAGGCCGGTGGAATTAGAAAGCTAACTTGAAGGCAATAAATTTAGAGTAAAATTTGACCTCATTTGGAATTAAATGGACTGAGATATGTCCATTTGAAGTCTGCCTTGTTAGAGACCCAACTCCCTGAGCAAAAGAGCCGACTCTTTTCACTCCAGTAGCGCTTTTGAAGAGGCAAACCTTGTTCCTAGCAAGGGAGCTGGCTCCTTTTGAAGAGAGCCGACTCTCAAAGCTTAGGGAGCCGACTCCCTTCAAAAGGAGCTGACTCTTTGTGCCCAGAATTTGAAATTTTGGCCAAATTTGAATATAACGGCTCTTTTGACCTTGAGCCTTGCGCGTTCCACTCCCAACCACTCTTTTGAGCTTCAAAACTCTATAAATAGAGTGGGGAAAGTCTGAATACTATGATACATCACTTGAGTGACCTTAGTGTGTACTAGAGAGCTTTTGTTCTCACATTTTTCTCATTATCTCTCATTCATATCATTCGTATATTACTTAAGAAATTCAATTAAGCGTCAAAGAGCTTTTTGCTCTATTCTACACTTGAGAGATTCTACCATTTATATTAGCCAGAAAAAGAATCCTTATTTCATTTCCATTATTTTCTTACTTTGAATAAGTAAATTCAAAGTATGAAACAAGTAAAAATCAACATCTAATGCAATATAATTCCCTCCGCCGCCCCCCCGCCTCAATCATCAATGGAAGGATGCGTCGTATTTGGCAATCTCCGGCCACGTACAAATGAACTGAACAGATGCAGAGCTCTTGATGGTTGTGCATATGGTACCATATGAGCAGCACCCCTTACGGTGGCAAAAGTCAGCAAATTTCCATACTCAGTTGCCCAACCTCCCACCTGTTGTTTCAAAACAAGATGAACATGAATATATATATATATATTACACAAAAAGATCAAGTTCAAATGAATTCTTATATGACAGTGAAGGATAAACCAAAGTCAGATGAGTAAGTACCTGCCCTTTGTGAAACCAAGCTCCATATGGTACAGTAATGTTGAAGTGTAGATCATGGGCTAGTTCACGGACTAGCGTTCGTGAACCGAGCAATGATACAACAGAATCTTGATCCCCACTACAGTTGGGCAAATTTTATTCATCATATTTATGAACAAATAATGCTCATGTGAATGAATTTTTTAAATTTTACTGTGAATTCAAAAAAGATACCTGAAAATCCAAACAGGGATTTGATTTTGGACTATCCTTTCAAGCAAGGGAAGAATGTTGATGTTACCATCAGTATCACTATAATTCAGAACACTGTCCAATAAAAGAAAGGATAAAAAATCAATGTACTTTAATTTCACAAACCGGATGATTTGTAAAGGATAAAAATCAATTTATATAGTCTGTAATAATTAATAATTAGTTTTCCAATTTGATAATATCAAGCTAGTTAGTAGAATAAAGTTGTTCTTTTTTGGCATCACCAAAAAAATTAGAAAATGTTATAAAAATGCCATTTTGAATTTCAAAAGGGAAACATTTTGAAGTAATCCTGTATCTTCACCTTCACAGTTGATGGAAAATATTGCAAGTATGAGTAAGTTATTTGTTTGAGATGGAAGATTTGAGGAACTGTTTGGATAGATTTACTTACCCACTGCACATAGACCAGCTATATGGCAAATTGGTCCGGTTTGCATGAAGAGCCTTTTGAACCTCTGGCAGGTTGAAATAGAAGTACCTTTCGTAGGTCATGCACACATCAACCCCGACACTGATCTTCGTAGCCTGGACGAAACTTAAGTGAATTTTATCGAAAGGATTATTTAAGAAAATCGAAGAACAGATAGAACAGAGATAGAATTAATACCAGTTTACGCAATCTCAGTTCTTGCTCTACTATAGACGGATAACAAACATCAAGGATCACATCATAACTGTTTATATAAGAACCAACAATGCTGTTTGCTTCAGACATAGCTTGGTTGCAAGATTGTGTCACATTGTGAGGACTAGCAAATGTATAATCTTCAAAATCACAATCGTTCATGATGGCAAGTCCAACTTCATCAGAAATCATTCCATGTGACCAGAAGAATTCGTACGTTGCAGGAGCATCCCGGTCAAGTCTCAGCAGTGGATTCCCAATCTAATCAGAAGAATTGGAAGGATCAAAGAAAATGTATGGACAATCCGGGAGTCTCTAAACAAAGCACGAGAGCTCTGGATCAAAATCCTCTCCAGCAAAACAATAGTCATGTCTCCTCAAGTTAGTGATATATGTTACGAAAATGATGTGATATGTGGCTGAACTTCACAACATTTTTGTAAGGTGCATCACTAACTGGACGGGACATGACACTGTTTCACAGGAAATGATTTTAATCCGAGAGTTCTATAATAAGAAAAAGCAGGGCATTCAATATGAGTATCAGGTTTCTTACAGCGATTCCTTTGATGTTGAATTTGTAACCAGTTGAATGTGCATTGTGGTCCAGGAGAGCAACGGCAAGTTGGGGTATATAATGCCCTACAAATAAATTTTATGGAATTATCGAAAAACAAAAATCGGTGATTCTAGAGAGGTAAAAGAGAAGAGACGTAGACTAGAGTTCATGAAGTTGCTAATCATGATAAAAACATTAACAATCTCAGCAGTGTGGAACATTTTGAAGAAGTGCATTGTCGTTATCAAAATGTTACCAGTATTCTTGTGCTCCAACAAAAGTATTTATCCCAAACACCAAATGCAGCCTCAACGGATTAAAAAATTCACCACTTTTTCTTTACCAAATAAATAATCTAAGACCAGATTTGAAGCTTCAATTATATATTGTTGTTCTTACCTGCATAGCTTTCTCCTGTAAGAAACAAATCTCTGGATTTGAAAGCCGGAAACTTATCATACCACTTCATCATGAATATGTGCAAATCCATGGCTGCAATAAAAAATAGAATGAACTCGAAGCATTAGAGTACACAAAGCCTCCGATATACCTTATACCTACAACAAATAATAGAAATAATAATTGAAAAACTAAGCTTGGTTATGTCTCTAAGGAATTTCTCTTACCAGAAGAAGCATCACCACAGGTGTAATCTGAGGTTGTATTCGAGTATGACCATCCTACTCCTGCTGGAGACTCAACAAAAAGAAGATTCGATGCTACAAATATATATATATATATATATATATATATATATGAAATTCAAGATAAATCAATTTTTATAATCAAGATGATACAAAATAATTTCAAACAGCATTTTGTGTAAAACACCTTTGTTCCATGATTTTGAATTTCTTCGGAGGCCTCTCCCGTCGCCTTTAGGGAAGAAAGGACCCAACTCTGTAAAGGCACCACCACCAATTGAGGAGCAACCTGGGCCTGAATGCGGAAATATAATGTTAAATTTTTTTTTTTTTTTTCCCTCAATAGTCAATACAACTATAGGAGGTTTTTCTTGACTTCACAATTCCCCTAACTTGCATAATATTCTGATAATTAAGAACTTTTATCCATGAACTTGAAACCATTTTTACAGATAATTGAACTATGTCAAAGCCTAAAGAACGACGAATCCTCCATACATATAAACAGTCATTACCCAGTATTAGTCCTGCCTACACAGGTGCTGGAATGAAGACACACTTCAATTTTGAATTTTTCTAATTAAATTCATACAATGAAATCTAACTCTGGGATGTATAATTGCTAATTGTGAGAAGAAATTTTGGTTAAATGTATATTTTTTTTTTCCAATGCAAAATATATATATCGTAAATTCTATAATTAACAAGTTCTGTTCTGAATCTTTGATGCTGTTGATCAGAAGATTTTCTTTTTCTTTTTCTTTTTCTTTTTCTTTTTCTTTTTCTTTTTATTTTTTCTTTTTTTCCTTTTCTACTATGGGCACATAATTTAAGTGAATATAACAGTAATTTGACCACAAACATATATGTGCATAACAAAAAAAATGGTGGAAATTAGCAAAAGGAAACAAAAGACCAACCCATAATCACAAGAAAGAGCAAACAGCTATAAATGTCTGTGTGTGTACAACTCAATAACAAAATAAATATATAAATAAAATAAGAAAATCTACACAAGAGTCCGAATCCACTTGAGAAACATTAAGAGCTTTCAGAACTGGTTGTGTGTGGAACTGGAACCCAATAACTAAGGAACAACAACAAAAATGGTTACATAAGAATCAGAATACACTAAAAAGACATGCACTATGTTCGACTGTCTGGAATCGGAGTCTTGGATTTGAAATTAGAATTGGGGAAAAATAATTCCGAATTTAAAACATGCCCTTTTGTTCGGTTATATGGAATCTAAGTCATGAAATTGGAGAAAAACAACTCTAGAAATTTTTTTTTTCCCACAAGATAAGCAATTCAGAATTTTCTAAGTTGTTTTTCTCCAATTCCACTAATTCAAATTTCAGGACTTCAATTTCATGCAACCAAACACAAAAAGCTTTTAGGTAGTGTGTGTGAGAGTGAGAGAAACAACTAACCTCCATTGAGCCAGAGAGTGAGGGGCTTGTGATGAGGGTCGTCCTCAGCTTCAACAAAGTAGTAAAACAGGCTCTTACCAGACTTGACATCCACATCAACATACCCAGCATACTGCCTGAACCCAACCTTTGGCTGTCCAGGCAATCTCACCACCAGATCCTCCAATGGGTACCCTCTCACACCATAAACCAACCCAGCAACAACCAACCCAAAAAACCACCACATAACCCCCATCCCACCAATTTCCAATTCAAACTCAAAACATTCTTCTTAGACCAAACCAACCACTTTATCCATACAAATAAATACTATATGTATATGCATATATATATATATATAGATAGACCAAAATTAAAAATTATGGTAAGGAATAATAATTTCAGGTTGACAGAGTGGTGCACGTGAATTCTGTGTGCTTTAATCTGTTAATCTAATTTAACCAGAATTTGCTATATATATATATACACACACATACATGTATGTACATATCACATTAGGGGGCCGTTACGAAGTTGTATATATTTATATATTTGATGAGTAATGTTGTGGCCTTTTTGACAGCTTTGCCGGCTTCTAATTTGGTCGTTATACAGAGAGAAAGCGTTTAGAGAGAGAGACGTTGGAAGAACCAGCAGCCGCTGGGGAGAGAGATGTTGAGATTCCCCTTGGCATCTTCCAAAGGTACTATAGTGTAACCGCACGCAGTCAGGAAAAGTCGATGCACAAAAAAAAAGTATAGTATCTTTTTTCGGCTCAATAATAGTCATTTACTATTTTAGTATATTAATTATAAATATATATATATATGGTTTGCAATTAAATGCTACGCAGTATTAAATTTTGAAAAATAAAAATTATATGCTATAGCCAACCTGCATTGGCTCAATATTTGTATATATAATCACATTAAATTTGAGAGAAATCATGGAAATAATGTGAGATTAATCAAGAACGGCAGTGGAATCACGCGATAAGTGAATACAAAAAGAAACTATATATCACGATTTTATTATTCTTCATCATTGATGGTCCATACTGGTTAGTTGTTGCATACTGCTAAAACATTACGTAGTATATCTTATTGTTCAGTCCTTGTCAATTTGACTGATCATTCAGCCATATATATACAGTTATATATTATTCTTGAACATTGGTGGTCCATATTAATTTGATTATGTTAAAACATTATATTGTGTTGGGTATGAGTATAAAAAAAATCCTTGTTGTATAAAAAATGCACAAGAAATATATCTACTATTTAGTATTTGCATATAAATTTTTATAATTTAAAATTTTGTAACAAAGAACCCTAACCCATAGTCCATCAATTTTGACCAATTTTCTCCGTTTTGCCTAAAAGACAGCCATCTACAACATAGGGCGAGTGGGATCCCATTGACTCTCAAATTTCTAAAATTGAACAATTACACTTTTGACTTTTGAATTGACCAATTTGAACCCTAAAATTACCATTTTAACCTTTATAAATAATTTTAAGGAAATAAAAAAATCTCAAAACGCATACAAATATACATTTACTACATATACATATAGCTACACAACACCACCAACCGCCGCCGCCACCACCCACCACCGCTGACCCATCTTTCTCTCTCCTCACTCACCACCGCTATCACCATCACTTACCACCACTCTCTCTTCTCTTTCTTTTGTCTCTTCCATCTCTTATACACACACATATACCCACAAAAATTTGCGATGAGAAAATGATGGTGCTGCTTTGAGGCTTGCAGTGCCGATAACGATGATGGTGAGATCGGACTTGGCGTTGAGGTGGTGAAGGAAACGATGATGAAGGATTACGGCTGCAAATGAGTCGAGCCGAGCTTTGGGTTGTTCGGGCTCAGCTCATCATCTGCAGAGTGGTGTTCAGGCTCGGCTCAGGCAATCTTGGCTTAGCCATGGTCGGGCTCAGTATAGTTTCGAGAAGCTCGGGCTCGGCTTTATTCGGGCTCGATTACATACAGATTCAGAAATCAGATCCCCCTTCCATAAGATAACATCTTAATCGCCAATGAGTTATAACTTTTTGGGCCTAATTAATGAAAGAATGTAAGTGGGCCAAACTAATATATTATATGGGCCAACCTTTAAATGTATAATGAAAATACATATGGCCCTTTTAATAATGATGTAATGACCCAAAAGATACCAAAAATATAATAATAATAATAATAATAATAATAATAATAATAATAATAATAATAAAATAAATAAAATTTCGGCATAACTTTCGCAGAAAAAGTCCCTCTACAACTTGTTGAAATACAGAAAAAATGCAATGGCCTCACTAGCCTCAAAACTAATATATCCTGTCCCAACGCACAATGCAATAATATACAACATCCCCAAAATCAACACATACATATAAAATATCCCGTTCCTCCGTCTCATCCAAACAAGGAATCACTTTAATTAAGTTACAGCATATGAAATATATTTATTTATACAAATTTTACCATTACAACACTATACAAGTTACACTTAATTTTTATAAAAGGTACATGATCATATTTCTATACAAAAGATAACAAAATAAGAGTTCTAGTCCAGTCTTAATTTACAATAGGTTGTCACCCCCACATTCTTTTCCCAAACTTGAAAAATGTTAAAATAATAGGGTGAGAATAAAGTTTAGTAGGAAGTGTCTAAGGCGCACCTCTTATGATCCCGTGAATCGACATAAGGAATAGAGTAGAAGTAAATGAGATCATGTCTCGGGGTAAACAAGTAAAGTAATGATAATAATCAATAAATACATACGCAAGTCGTATAACCACCAAATATACAATGTATGCCAATGCAATGCTATGCCATGCAATGTCACTCCCCATTTCCAAAATAATACCATTTCAACTTCCAAACCGTTAGTGCGATCCGACCCAAGGCACCTCCAAGGTGTCATAAAGGGAGGGTTGGCTAGCTTTTCCCGATCACATGGCACCTTCATGGCGTCGTCTAGGCCTAGGTAGCTCAACCACACTAGAGTCTCTCTCTAACTCCCCTCTAAACCACACTAACACCACGGACCACTAGGCGCTTCCTAGGCGTCCATTTTTTCACAAACACTTTCGAAAACATTTCCCAAAAAATATATTTTTCCCCTTTTTTTTCCCAATGAATGCATGAATGCTTCATGCTTCATAATTTAAAATTAATTTTCACATCATCAAACCGTAACAACATTTCGTACTAAAGAAGAATTTCTCATGAATTTATAGCATACTTTAGGTCAACAAAATTTTGACAATTACACATATTAAATAAGGACATAATCACAAAGGCATGCTTTCCAAATCCAATCAACAAATCATACACACATATATTATTTACACATAACACACACAGAGATACACATCATATATCTAGCATCATGGTAATTTCTCAAGAAAAATTTACAATCTAGCATATTATACTTCAATTATAGGGAATTAATTCACAAAAAAATCTAAGAGATTGCAAATTAGAACACCCTTACCTCAAGGAGGAAAAAATGGGTCCAAAATTCAAAATTCCTATGATGCACCAAATGATGAATTACTTACATCAATGAGTAGATTTCGCTGTACTCTCCGTTTTGCTACAAATGGCACCCAAAAACTCCCAATGGTTGAAGATTAATTAAGAGTTGAAGTTTGTATTGAAAAGAAAAAAGAAAAACAAAAGAAGAATGAGAGAGAGACTGCCGAGAGATGATGGAAAGAAAATGAGGCAAAAAGGATGGCCTCTTAACAATTCAAAAGTCAAAAAGGTTGTGGTAGGTCCCACCACTAAAAGTTTTTTTTTTTTTTTTGTAACATTAATTCTACACCACACACACATGTATTTATATATATACACAAGCCATAATGAAACCATATAAAACACATCAAATAAAAATAAATGGTATACAAATGGACCCAGATAAAACCCCCATACGCAACAATTCTTGTAGTGAGTCTCGCACAGGACCTTTCGGCTCGAAAAAAGGAAAAATGCTGAAATGACAACCGATGCATTTCCAAGAGTCATAAACTCAATGAAATGCTCCAACTAACTCTCAGACACACCTGGCACACCCCACGGTGTCCAGCACGTAATACGTGAAAAGACGAAATTGCCTTCGTAAAATAAAAAAAAAATCCAGAAATTGGAAAATGGTAAAAATTGGAAACATTACATTCTACCCTCCTTAAAAGATTTCGTCCTAAAAATCTACCCTCCTTAAAGAACGAGGCTCACAGCCACACACCTTCCTGAGAAACCTCACAAAACCTAAGACCATGAAGTTATCAACATTGTCGTCTTGGACACCAGACGTACCACGCAATCCCACGCCACTGCTACTAAAACCCCAATGCGAGTACGTACCTCTTACCTCATCATAGCATAAGACCAGCAAGACTTTACGTTTGACTCAAAACGGACATCAGTCTACTCCACACAGTCACAAAAGGCCCTAAAGCCCGAGAAATAAATGGTCGCCAGACCACCGAACATGACAACGTCCAAATCCAACTTATCCTCTAAAGGACATACAAGACCCCAAACAAGAAACCCCGTCCAGTACACAATTTAGCTCAAACTCAAATCTTGACCTCTCAGTCAGACCAACACTTACAACACACGGCTACACCATTACATAACTACACCAATGATTACTAATCGCACTATACAACAATCATTACACTTACAACCTCAAGATGGCTAAGCAATGAATCCCCAATGATTGCATAAACATTAGTCACCAAAATAGTACAGCACACTATCCCGTACTCATGACACAATCCTCAAAACAGATCTTTCATAATCAAACAGATTGGACACTTGGTCTCACCTAACACACCTTATCACCCGAGATAACTCATCTAAGTCCCCACCGTCACACTGACATAACGCACAGTACCATGCTCTCACTATTCGTGACAACTCAAAACAATCAATGACCTTTAACCCAACATCATGCTAAAGAGGGACTAATTCAAGAGAAATAGTTGGCCAAGCCATTCTTATCATCGACCCGATCTCAGCACACACGTCGTTCATGTCCTCAGGTCCAAACCTCAAACACAATCTCACACAGTCCTCAAAACAACCATGAGATCCACTCACTATCCACATAACCTCAACCACTATATAGTCATATACCTATTCTAAAAAAAATTCTACTCATTCTTTAATCACACAACCTATAACAAGCTAAAAATAACACGACACCAAACGTCACAATCATCGACCAACATAAAAGCTCTCAAATCTCCTCATAACACCGATACCAGGTAAACAACTCCATAACATCACTCGATTCAATTCCTACCTCATTAAAACACACAATGCGACTATCTCATACCTGAGATCTCAAAACCAAAGTCAACTACTAGGATTACTCCTCAGAGGAATTATACATTCACATTTAAAATCATGAAATCCTGAGATGATACCGACACTAGTCCTCAAAACATTGCTTAAATCAAACGACTATATAAACACTCAAGTACATGACTCACATCACATCACCTAATCATCCTCGAACGTACAGTTCATGACACATCCCTTATCCCTCACCACTAGTACTGACACCAGAAACACATAATCCCTATTTGGCAACTCTTGCCTCACACCACCGATCAAAACCACTCTCAAAAAAAGCACCACCAAAACCAAAGACCCTACCTCCCTCCGTGAGAGTGAGTCA